AAAGGTCGGACTACAGCTGAATTTTACAAAGACTATGTTTATGAGAAACAGCTCATTCCTGACGCTCCATTCGCTCTCAATGGAATGACCGTCTCCGAATTCAACAGTTATATATACCTAGGTCGAGAAATCAACATGATGAATGACCTGGCACCTGAGTTGCGCAGGAGGAAGAAAGCGGCTTGGAACGCCTCCAAGAGCGTCGAAGAAATAGCTATGAAGATGAAGAACCTCTGACTCTGGGCACATCTCTATGATTCCACTGTTCTTCCTGCATTAACATACGCCTCAGAGACCTGGGCCCTACACAAACAGGATGAGAACACTATTCGTGTCCCCCAAAGAGGAGTCAAAAGAGCTATACTTGGAGTATCACGTTTCACTCAAATGAGAAAAAGAATCCGGAGTTCCGACCTCTGTCGATGATCAAGAATCAGGGACACTGTCTCATTTGCCAAGGTGTCAAAAATCAGATGGGCTGGACACGTAGTGAGATTTAGAGACGACCACTAGACTAGAGACATTACCGACTGGATTCCACGGGATGTCAAAAGACCACAGGGCCGCCCACCTACCAGATGGTCAGACTTATTCATCAAGATCATGAACGATCAGTTTGAGGCTCTCCATGTTCCTAGAATGAACAGACGCCATTGGGCTACACTAGCATGCGACAGGGACAAATGGAGACGTTACTGGCACCCGCTCGAGCAAATTGATGATTAACGGGAAGTCAAGTGATCAAGTTTATGTTTTTAGGAATTGACTTAGCAATAGCTACTACTGCCACCCTCCAGATTAAAATGACAGTAATCCCAGCCCGTACTCAACATTAACTTTCTTCCCTCAACCTGAGTAAACTCTTGAGATATGATTGCTGACGAGTCTACAAAAGTCCAGATACCTTCTTGGAAGTGTCCGAAGCTAATAAATTCCACTTATTCCAAACTACCCTGGAAGCCTGACATGTGTGGTTAATGTGCTCAATCCACATTATCTGTTTAGGTAGATAACATTTCCCTCCCCACCCCAAGCAGAACTCCGGCAGCCAAAAACCTCCAGAATTCAGCCACAGACATGCTCAAGGCCACTCTCCACACTCTCCGACGAGCCTCACACATGAAGGAACCAGCAGAGAAACCCAGGTATGTGGGACCCGGGACTGAGATCTCCTAGCCTTCTCAGATTGGGACTGGGCCTCCCCCCATTTTCCAGTAGCTTGGCATTCACGGCCACATGGCCTCTTATAGTCTAGCCCGCTGATGTACTTAAAGCAGCACACATGTGTTTGGTTTTAACATGCTTGCTTGTATTCTTTTATATACATTCTCTGTCCCTCTTGGAGAGCCTGGCAAGCTACCGAGAGTATCCTGCCTGCACAGCAGAGCCTGGCAAGCTCCCTATGGCATATTCTATATGCCAAAAACAGTAACAATAATGTGTCTCATTCCCCTGACCCTGAAAAAGCCTCCCATGCGGCACTGTTGGGAAGGACGAGTAAGGAGGGGTTGCTAAAATCTCAGGGCTGGGACGAATCAGATGCTACTAGTTCCCTTTCAAGTAAGTCAATAAACAAGATGACAATGATACAGTGATATACAGTGAACATTACTAAACCCCTCCAAGCCTTCCACCTAATATTTGACATTACTTAATATCTCCAAGTATTTTCCTCTAGCATGAAGAGTATAAACAGGAATATCAACAGTAACATCTAGCTCACAAATGTAAAGATTATGAGAGATGAAACTTGATAAAATGACTGCATATACAAGACACTTGATTAACAGAGAACCATTATTGGCTCTAGGGGGGAAACTTCAAAAGAAAACACTGAACCAAGAAAAGTCTTCATGTTTTCATTTTTCTGAGTCCCAGAGTGGAATTCTCTAGACACCAGTGTCTGTGATAGCCTGTGTAGGGCAGACCTGGAAACCCATGATGGGTCCACAGATATGGCTAGGCATACATTACTCTTCTCCAAATGGTGTAGAATTGGTGAGGTCTAAATATTTCATATCACCCTGCCAACCTCACCTTCTATAGAGAGGTGGTAATGATGTTTTTTCACTTTTAGAGGTTCTGACTGTAAACTCCATCCACAGCTTTATGCTGTACTTTATTCTTTTTTTCAGTATTTTCTTTCTCTCCAAATTCCTTTTTCAATACGATTATTGGAAAGAGGAAAAATATTTCAAAATTCCTACCCAATTTTTCCATTCTGTATGCAACTTTCCTCCCTCCTTTCCTTGGCTAATTAAATTTCCTTTTTGTGCAATGCTTTCTCTCCATTCTATAAATTTGTGGGTATTGCACACCAAAAAAAGACGTTGTTAAGGGAAAGTAATTATTCTGATTTAATATAAGCAAAGAAAGACATGAGAGCTATAGGCACCCTGAGGGCAGAATAATCTTGCTGAGAATCTTACAATGGGAGAGATTTGACTATGTTCAAACCTTTGACTAGTTTCTTTCATTCTAGGAACATCCCTTCAACTCTTGTAACTTATTTTTATTAGAACTCTATTTTTAGTGCAATTTAAGATGACAGAAAAATTGAGGAGGATTCTACAGAGTTTTAGATTATGCCCCTGTGCCACACATGCATACATCCTTCAAAATCACTATCCTCCACCGGAATGACACATTTGTTATAATTAATGAAACTATATTGATATATCACAATGACTCAAAGCCTGTGGCCTACATTATGTTTCACTCTTACTGTTGTTTGCACTACAGGTTTAAGCAAAAGTATATTATCATCACCTAGCAATCATCCTCTCCTGTTTCTCTTCTCTAAAGTAATACCTAAATGACCTTAATCAACGGCTTTGCTATATTTCAAGTAATACTAGGAACACTTTCCGTACTCCATCTTTATGCCAAAAATACAAGATGGTTTTCCATGTGGCATCCCTGAAGAATGAGAAAGAAAATATGCAGACTTCTCTTCCTGTGCTGATTATTCTCAAAGTTCGTATCTTAATCAAACTCATTTACATGCTTATTCTTGTCTACCTTGATCTCCCTCCAGGATGCTGGTCCCTGAAGATTCCATCTGTCTGTCCCTCTCAGAGCTGCAGTATTTAGTCAATGCAAAACACCAGCAGGATATGAAGACTGGAAGGAGAAAAAAGGTCCAGGTATTTCTGTCATGCTGCACACCCACCCATGTTCTATGTCTCTGACACAGCTGAATCATATGAGCTCCCACCAGGCAACCTCTCTGCCACAACAGTGGACTTTAGTAATATCATTCATTATTTCTCTCAATCTGTTTGCGGTAAGCATGGTAAAGACTTACGTTGTTACACTTATCTGAGTATATAAATAGTACCCATAAGTCTGTTGATCAGAGGCTGGGACATGTAAAACTATACCAATTTCACTTAGGTATACCCTTGATACACTGAGAAATATTAATTTTATGAAATATTTACACTTTTGTAAGATATTTTTATATTTGTAGTGATAAAAATAGAACTATACTTAAGGCACTTTTCTTATATTCAAAATTGAATGTATGTTAGTATCAAGAAAAACACCACTTGTGTGATTACTTGGGTCAAAAAGAGAACTAGTTGCTTTTCCCATAGGACACTATATCTCCTTGAGAAAATAAGTGATAGAAAATTATGGTGATTGTGTCTGAAATTTAGCAGACATTTTCTCTGAAATGAATAGAGTATCTCATATCAAGGAAAAGAGGTGACAGTGTTTGTTGCCAATGATAAAATTGAACTTTCAAGGTGATAGCTTTCCAATGCTGAAAGATGTTTTGTAGAGGATCAGTTGTGATACTAACAAAAGTTTCTTGTTAAAATTATATCATAAAATGTAATTTTCTATTTGTACAAATAATTTTATATTTCCCAATATTTTACAATCTGAAAAATTCACTGAGATATATAAAATTATTATTCTTAAAACTTGAATCTTTATATTAATACTCAGACGATATTGGCTTCAACCTAGGATCTAACAATTGCTCAATAGATCTACTGAGTCATTTAAAAAATAGTTTTCTCATATGGGCGTTTGCCTTGCACACAGCTAGCCTGGCTGAGCCGGGTTCGATTCCTCCGCCCCTCTCAGAGAGCCCAGCAAGCTACCGAGAGTATCTCTGGCGAGCTACCCATGACGTATTCGATATGCCAAACACAGTACCAACAAGTCTCAAAATAGAGACGTTACTGGGCCCGCTCAAGAAAATTGTTGAACAAAAGGAGGACAGTGACGGTGACAGTGACATATGTTACAACGGGCATAATAGCTGACAGATATGTAAGAACTGGATAAGTAATATATCAGTTGTACCTGCTACAAAGGCAGGGAGTAGGGTGAGGTGGGGGTGGCAGGTAGAATGCTGGGAACAATGGTGGTGGAAAATGTGCACTGGAGGAGGGATGAGTGTTCAAGCATTGTGTGACTGAAAAGTAATCATGCAACTGTATCTCAAGGTTATTCAATAAAAAATTCTTAAAAAATAATTTATCAGAATAAATGATAGTACATACTCATAGGTTAAAATAAAGGATGATGGCAAAACTTTGCAAATCTTTGCTATCATTATGATCACTGTTTTCTTCATCATAATGTTAGGTATGATCTCCTAAACACAATCTTTCTTTCCAGCGCAGAACTTCAGAGCATGGGCTCTGGTGAACCCCTGGGTTAAGCAATTAGAACCAATTACAAACTAGTCTCCTTAAACAACTGATTTAATAACCTGGTGGCAATTTACTGGGATTATTATAAGAAAATATGCCCAAGATGCTTATCCCAAAACTTGATTCATTAGACTAACTGTTAGACTACTAAATGGAACTCGATGACTTGCATAAAAATCATACCTCAATATGATGACATGAAACTTTGTAGAAATATATATATATATATATAATATAAAACATTCAGGCAATGATATTGGTAAACCAGCTTTCTGAAAAAAAAACATTTTGCTTGTATCATTTTATAACCTCTGATACCTTTCCAGTTACAATTTTATTCTACCTAGAAGAGGTTACTGAATGTATATTTGAGAAGAAATTCTCCTAGTTGTCCCTTGTCAGTTGGCATAAATCAACTGCTGTATACAACTACTTTCAATCTACTGTTGGAGAGATAGTCACTATAATCTCATCTGAAGAATTATTTCATCAGGTTATACATGAGCAGAAAATTCTAATAGAAACTGCTTCTGGAGACTTTAAATATATTCCTTAAATGCATTGTCAATTTTCACTTAATCATCAGAACTTGACCTCTTTATGCACCTATAAAAACAATGTATCTATCTATGTGATTTTAGTAGCTGAAAGGAGTTTTGTGGCAAGAAACCTTGGAAAGAAAGATGCTATTCTAAAAACAGAATTTAATCAGAAAAATCTAAAACATGTTTTTCATTATTGCATTTATTAAAGAATAAAATGTTCTTTCCAACTATGAAATTTATTTAAAAGTTTTTAGAAAGAGCAAACCCAACATTTTAAAAAATTGCTGAGCAATTAAAATGCCCTGGCTCCAAAGTAAAAAATAATAAAGCACATTGCATAGTAAGAGTAGATGAAGCAAGAGGAAGGGAAAGCACCCATGACAATCTGTCATATTAGTTATTATGTATTTCAACATCTGTAACTGAGAAGTTACAGAAGTCAAAAAGAAGAAGTAAAAAAAGACCCACAAGAGCAAGAATGCCTGATTATACAGCAAAAATATCTAATCTGCTCTCCATTTCATGTAAAAAATAAATTAAGTATAAATAAGAGGCAAGGGGAAGTGAATGCTCAGGTGTGTTCACAGGTTTGTACTCAGAGGGTACAGGAGAACTGAGCTGGAGGCCTTTCCTTTCCCACACTTGCTACACAAAACTCTCCTCCATGTTGCTGCAGAGTAAGAAAGAGTCCACAAGTCGAGGCTGGACCAGTTGCTGGAAATCGGAGTCCTGGAGGCCTTCAGGGCACACCCCAGCCAGCCTCCTTAGAGCAGCCTATAGAGAACACAAAGAGAACACAAGTTAGACTCGACCCTTCTCAAGAGTAGAAACAGCCCTTCTTGATGTTGTTTCCTTCAACTAGAATGAGGTATGTATTTCAGGAAGTGGCTCACTGAAAGGTCAGGGTGAACTGACCATCATCTTGATCACCTGACACCTCAGTGTTCTTGTTCTTTTGGTCACCAGATCACCATCAAGAACAGACACAGAATGACTACACTCATTTGTGAAATATAAAGTAGCATAACATGAGACTAACACCTAAGTAAGTAAAGATAAGTGCCAGGAGGGTCACAACATTGTTTGGAAGCCAGTCCCATGTGCTGGGGGAAAAGGCAGTTGGGATGGAGAAGGAACCACTAAGTAAATGATGATTGGGGGCATCACCCAGGATGGGAGACGTGTGCTGAAAGTAGACAAAGGACCAAACACATTGACCTCCTATTGCAAATCATAATGCCCAAAATTATAGAGAGAGTAAGAAGGAAAGTACCTGCCACAGAGGCAGAGTGGGGTGGGGTGGGGGTGTCGTGTGGGACACTGGAAACAATGCTGGTGGAAAATGTGCACTGGTGGAGGGATGGGTGTTCAAGCACTATTTGACTGAAACATAATCATGCAAGTTTGTAACTGTATCTCACAGTGATCCAATAAAACTTCTTTAAAAAATAAAGAAAGAAAGAACTTGCTACAGTGCCACCTGGTTTCAGTTGCATCTTTGTCACAATGCTGGCTGGTGTTGGAAAGCTCTTTATGTGCTTAATAATGATCTGGCCACCATGGTTAATCAGTTACATTAATTAATGACTAATCAACTTGGTGATTTCAAAGACCTGTCTTTTTAAGGATCTGGTTAACCTAATTAAATATTTAAATTCAAGATATTTTTTGTCCTGGATTCTGGAACTCTAAAAGTGTCAATAGAATTATATTTGCGCTTCCACATCTCTTTAATAAAAAACTTTAGAATAGCAAGGACTAATAATTTGCTCACAAATAATTAGAAAGATTAGAAAGTTAGAAAGATTATGAGCAAAGTGAAATGGGATGAAGGGGAAAAGGGGAAGCCATAGAGGTGAATGAGATGGAGATTCTTCTTAGAAGGGACAGCAGGAAAGACAGGTGGATTTAGAATGAAATCACGACTTGCCTCCCCCACACTAAACTTCTCACACTTAGCTAAGTAAATGATTCTGTTTTATTTTCATAAGTCCTTGCTCATGTTTTCCTATGCCATGAACTCACTCCCTATTCTTTTGTAGTCATCAGTTGTATTCAGCCTATAAAACCTGGTCTGCTATCACTTCCTCTGTGAAGCCATCCCTGATTATTTTGAAGCAGAGACATATTCTTCCCTCCACTGTGCTCCTATTGGCCTGGACTCACCTCAATCTTATAGTGCATAAATACAACTGGCTTTCAGGTATATTGTTTCCTAGCCTAGACACTTAGTTCCTCTGGAGCAGAGACACACATTTTTCTATAATAAAACTAGTCAGGACAGGAGTTGGTATGCAATGTTTGTGGGGGAGAAAAGTGAATGTTTTAAAATTGACTTCTGCTTCTAGAGAAACCTGAAAGTATAAATATGGGCTGTTATATACCTAGACCTCTTTTCTGGTTAGTTGAGGCATTACGCATAAAGTACTTAGAGAATCCTTCCTTGTTTCTTCTTTCTGAGCATGTGCACAGTGGGAACAAAAAGAGGGAGGGCTATCTAGATTGATAGAAGAAGCTATATTATCTACATTCTGCATTAAATATGTACTATACTATCTACACTATGCATTAAATGTATCTAGTATTCACTTCATTCTAATACTTGATGCTACCAGGTACCATGATTTCTGATTTATAAATAAGGAGATTAATGCTTAGAGAGGGGAAATAAGTTTTTCCAACATCACAGAGCTGTCCAACTCCAAGGTCCTCTGTACAGGTACAGGAAGTATCTTGTAGTTCCAAGGAGCTAGAATATATTGTGTGCAAGTCAGGCAGAGTCCAAGACATGGAAAACAATCTGATGAAAATTACAACCCAGCCCCCTATGCTCCACGAGGCTTCTCTCGCACCAGCCACCCAAACGTTGCATTGCACTCAAATGTTGTTCCCCCTTCTCCGAGTCAAAACACAAAATCCCACCAACATGGGAACAGGGTGGGGTCCCTCAGGCAAGAAGCAATCAATCAGACCCAAGGTTCTGTGAAAATACAAAACATGGGAAAGGGCTATACAGACATTTCAGGAGATAGTGCCAAAATAGCAAGACCAATGTTAGGGAACACATGGTTGGAACGAAATAATCTGGTCAAAAGTCAAGACTCAGCTTCAGGACAGTATCTTCCCAATTCAGGAAACTCCTGGGCTAGCATTTCAAGAGCCTCCCCCTATGATACCAGGAACATTGGATAGTACAGACTGCCTCCTGCTGGGAAAACAAAATCAAAGCAGACAACCAAGTACATACTACAAATGTTCTCTCCAAGAGCCCCCTATCACTTTTGGGAAGCTTCATCAAGAAGAGGTATTTGGACCTGCACCTGGAGGAAGGGCAGACAGAGAAGGTGTCTGCTTGGGACAAAAAATCAATACAGTATTATGGTGATTCAGGTCACTGTTGTCTTACAAGCAGAGTAAGGGCTAGAGCCAAGGAGGCTTCACACCCCAGGGTGAATCACAGCCTGATAAGAACTGAGCATGTGGGCAGCAGCCATAGATAGTGGGGAGCCACTGGAAAGGTTGAGCATGGAAGAGTCATGGTCACTAGCTGCCACAAGGAAAAATAGTTCAGCAGTCATCAATCAATCACAATCACAACCATCCTGTTATTTGTTGATTGCCTCGAGCAGGCCCTAGTAACGTCTCCTTTGTCCTAGCCCTGAGATTTTTTGGAAAAGTTCCATATTCAAGGCTCTTTCAGAGTTAGGAGAATGAGACCCAGCAGTCATATGATGGTGGATTTGAGGGAAGGAGCTCTCTTCTGCTTAACCAGGAGCATTGGAGTCCCTTTTCTACTGGAAAGCCCTTCAAATTATTGAAGAAAGTGGCTAAACCCTTCTGTATGCTCTCCTTCAAATAAACAAAAATGGAAAGTAAAAGCCAGGTAACAAGTTCTTGTACCTGAATGTACTTTCCCTACATTCCCTCAGGATCTGTTTAGCAACAGGCAGTCGTTGGCAGACACCTTCTCTGACTGCCCTTCCTCCAGGCACAGGTCCAAATACCGCTTCTTGATGAAGCTTCCCGAAAGTGATAGGGGGCTCTTGGAGAAGACATTTGTAGTATGTACTTGGTTGTCTGATTTTGGAAATAATGGTAGTTGGGCCATTATCTAAGTTGGCTTGATGATGTGTTGGCCTGATATAAACTCTCTCCTTCCTACTCCTTAGATCTGATAAAAATGAATAGGGTCTATAAATGTGAAAAAAAAAAGACACCCTTCTATTCACTAACATTGAACTCAGTGTTTCTCAAAGTGAGTGATAACCCTGGTGGTACTGAAGCAAGGGGGTTAGGTAATAACCTTGGGAGCAAAAGGGAGAACTTTCTCTTTAATCATTTAAAAAGGGTAGATTTCTAGGGGAATGGTGAATGAAGGAGGTTTTTCTCCCCTCAAAAATGGCAGATAATCCAAATAACTGTGGGAACTTCTCTATCTGAATAGCATTTCCTTCTTTGAGAATATGTCAACATAGCATGAAGTCTCAGAAATTCTTGTTAACTAATATAAACCAAGACATTCATATCCCATTATAGTTCCTGAAGAGACTTTCAAATGTTATTTATGCTCAACATTACATCAATTATTAGACCCACTGCTATATCTTACATAACAAGTAAAATATAAAGTACATAGATTTGTGTATTATATTTAAATAGCTCTCAATTTCATTCATCTCCTTTTTTATTTATTTATTTTCTGCTCTAAAACATTTTCTGAAATGTTCTTAAGCTTCACCAGATGCCTAAAAAAACAAAAAAAAAACCATGGTACGCATGCCACTTAAGAGGGGTCACATAAGTAGGTACATGGGACTCTGTACCTACTTATGACCACTCCTCATAAGAGTGGTCATAAAGGGATACAAAGCTGAGAGTCACAAAGGGATGGTCACGGGGGGACACAAAGGGACACAAAGGAGGGACACAAAGCAGAGAGGGTCACAAGGAGATGGTCACGGGGTGTCACAGGGTAGGAACAATTGTCTTTTGTGTCTTTCCATAGAGATTTCCATATCCTAGAAGAGTTCATGGCACATGTAATGACTCAGTAAATATTTACTGAATAAAATTTATGACTCTTAGAGAGTACCCAACGTCACACAGCTCATTAAAAACAAAACCAAGATAGGTTTATCTAACAATAATATCCTACTATTTCTATCACTATCCAATGTCCATTAGGCACTCTCAGAAAAGACAGGAAATCATTTAAAATGAGGGAATAGGAAGGGGCACTAGGATGAAGCAGCATGAAAGATCTCCAGAGTCATTATTTCTTCCTCAAGTGCTTTGAGAAGCAATTCAGGTTTTGACATGACCTTCTGGAACTTAAATAGCTTGCTTATTTATACAATGTCTTCCTGTTCTTCTATGCTTCCAATTGGGAGTTTCTCTGCTTTCGGTTTTTGAAGCCCAAACCTGGATAAGTGTAGAGACAAAAGCATGCATTTCCCTACTGGGGACTGTTGAATCTTTCATGATGGGATTTTTCTATCAAGGAATCCTCCAGGATGACCTCCAGGATCAATTTGCTTGGTTTAGGGTGAAGATCCTGGGGGCTTCAGTGAATGACACCCTGTCTTGTCCCATTGTTTCCAGTCCTAGTTCACAAAGATTGAGGGCTCTACAGAATGGGAAGAGCACTAGTCTGTGAAAAGGGTAGGTGTTCTTCCAGAAGGAAAGGAAGTTTTTCCCACCTGTGCACTTTGGAACAGTCAGGAGACATCCAAACCCTTGCCTCCATGTGCGGTAGCCATGTTATTACTGATTCCACTGACATCCTGGTATTCATCTTCTGTTAAGGTTCTCAGAACCTCAAAATTCATGGTGACTGAAAATGGATAGTGGAAGAGAGGACTCCACTCTTTCTTTAATTTTCATATCATTTTCTTCACAATTTTATAGAGTAAATTATTCATTGCCATTTTACTTATTTTCTCTTTTATTCTGGTGCCACATTGCTACGCAGACCATAAACTCCAACGGTTACTCCCAACGGTTACTTTAAAACTCATCAAAGGACTTACCCAAGCCCACCACAGCATAGTCCACCTTACTGGCCTGCCTCTTGCCTGTCTTCCCCTAGACCAAAGGGAAATCTGGGGGATACTGAGAACTCACCAGGCAGGCTACCAGTACTGCATCACTGCTGTTCCTCTCCGAGGGTGACCGACAGAGCTCAATGAGCCGGGACATACCTGTACAAGACGCAAGAAGCACCTCAGTGCTGAGACCCAAATTGGATGATCAAGGCCTGACCTAGGGGCACTTACCCCCAATTGACACACAGCCCTCTGCCAGGCATTAGTGAAAAAAAACAGGTGATACTCAAGGACTCTCTATGGTATACCAATCAATTTGGGAAGGGTTGGGCCAACCCTGGGGGCACTGTGATGGACATATTCACTACCTCAAATGTGAACAGACCCTGGTCAGGGTTAAGAAGAGATGGAGCATCAAAAGCAAAGCACTGGTCAGGACTGAATTTAGTTAAAACTCCAATGGATGATATGCAGAGCTCTTTGAAAATGTCCTCTGTAGAGACTTTGGATTTTATAAGGAAGAGCTATTTAATGTGTACATCTTTACAGTGGAACCTCCCAGTACTATTTTTCTCCAATCGCTATTTTAATATACATAATGGTTGAAATTACTGGAAATTATGGACTATATAGTCTCCTACTATTGCATGTCCTCCCATTGTTCATCGATTTGTTCAAGCGGGCACCAGTAATGTCTCCATTGTGAGACTTGCTGTTACTGTTTTTGGCATATTAAATACGTCATGGGATGGGTAGCTTTCCAGGCTTTTCCATGCAGACAGAATACTCTCAATAGCTTGCTGAGTTCTCCAAGAGGGGCGGAGGAATTGAACCTGGGTCAGCTGTGTGAAAGGCAAACACCCTACCCGCTATTCTAACACTCTGGCCCAGCCTCCTACTATTAAAAAAATAAATAAATAAAAATAAATAAATTTTTTAAAAAAGGCCAAGGAGATGGATGAGATAAAGCATTGAAGCAGAATGTGATGGGGGAGCAGAAACTAAAGGAACTGAAAAAAAAATCACTGGTGGAATTAAGAAACCTGGCCAGCAGTAAGCAGTTCCTTGTACCTGAGGCCATGGTGATCTTTAATTCTATCTAAGCATCTAGGTTCCCTCTCTAGCCTGTTGCCAACAGTAGAATGACGTGTTTTGGAACCTATCGTACATTTAAGAATAAAATTTTGTCTAAAATTTTTAAAAATGAAAATAAGCTTTAAAAAACAAGAATTCATAAGATTGCTCATCCTCTGTGTAGTTCTCATTTGCAGCCATTTTTACTGTAGCTGTGAGATCAGTAAACATAGCCCAGAATCCTGTCAAAATCTTTCCAGATGTTGGGTCTACCCCATAGTCTATTCCTCTGAATTAAATTAATACACTTGAAACAGGCAAACAAAAAAGAAAACAAATCAATAAGCAATTAAGTGATGAGTAAATAAATTAAAAAGGATAAATTAATGAACAACTAAGTGAAAAAACCAAGTGAATCAAGAAGGATCTGGATAAGTGGAAAAAATATGATTGAGATCCTTATAGAGAGAATGTCTACAGGGCAGTCACTGCTTTCATCAACTTAAACCTCTCCGAGCTCTTCCCTTATGTCTCTTTAAGCCAAGTCTCAAGCTAGACTAGGGCTGCACCATGGACCTCCATCCCCACATGTCCCGGTGTCAGCAGAGTAAGGCTCAGGCAACCAGCCTTTGCATAAAATCCTCTATTGCCACAAAATTTTCAGGGATTCCCCCATTCCCAAGCCCTGCATCCCAATCCCTTTCTGCCACCACCTGCAGCACTTACAGCTCAGCCGAACAGCCTCACGAGCCACTTCTGGGTCTCTGCTGAGTCGTGCCAAAGTCACTGCAGCCTTCTGCTGGACTCGCTCACAGGCTGCCACTTCTGCAGGGGTTCCAGACCTTGGCTTCTCGGACAGCATACCCAAAATAAGCTGCACCCCTGAGCAGGAAGAAATGAACAGTAGGCACTGCCCAGCAGGGTGCCTTCCACTCAGGCACAGCTGGACAGATGGCTTCAGGGCTCAGACTGGGGCTATCAGGGTCACAGAGCATCTCAACTCAAGTCAGGATGGAAGCTGACTTGCAGGGAAGAAGTTGAACCAGTCACCCCTTCCATCACTTTCTGATCTGGGAGCAGTCTCTGATTCCATGGACCAAGTCACTGTACTTTGAATAGTCATCTGAAGGATGGCCATACCTTTTTTTAATGACTTTTAATACTATTGTTAAGCTTTTACCGCATGCCTGTTACTGTGAGGGGGGGGGGGGGGGGAATGGCTCATAAAAGCACAATCCCCTAAAATTACCAAGAGCCTTGTGAACTAGTTACTTAGTTACTGTTATAATTCACCTTGAGGTACAAAAACAAAGGGTTAGATCAGGGTCACACCATTAATAGTTGAAGAGTTGATATCAGTCAGGTAATCTGGTTACACTTTGTTACCATTTCACCTCTGATGACACTGCATCTGAGACAAGTTAAGGGCTGAAGGGTCCCTCCTTGGTGAGGAGTGAGCCAACCTGAGGCTGATCATCACTGAATTAAATTTTTTACAAGTGATTCTTTCTCCCTTCTCCATGATCCTCAGGACAGGAGCTTTAGAACTTTGTCTAACTCCTGTCTGATGTGTGCTGGAATGAATACCGTATCTCAAAGCCCATCCTGACCAATAGGGCTTGCCACTGCAGATCAAGGCTTCCGACTGTCTTCCATGGGCTCTTGGCTATGTCTCCCTCAAGCCCTTTGCACCTTGGTAATTTCTGCATCAGAATATCTTCAGTTCAGACATGAGAGCTGGTACACTCAACACAGTGCTTATCCTGGACGGATGTTTTTCTAAGATGCTTTACATCAGTCTTCACATCATCCCTATGCTATGGATATTTCTAGTGGTCCCATGTTGTAGAAGGAAAAAATAGAGGTTCTGCAGCTAAACAAAATCCAACCCAAGAATCAAACCTAGGCAGTCTGATTCCAGTAGCCACAGCCTCAATGACCCTGCCATACTTCCTCAGCACCACAATTTTATAGTAGGTGTGACTTTTTTTTCTCATCTATCCCTTTTGTCCAGTTGGTCTCTCCTTCTAGTGTGTGAGGTCCTGTGACACAGACAAGCATTTATCTACCTCTGACCCCTAGACAGGCACATAGTAGGTCTCCATACCTACTGGCTGAGTGAGCTGTCAATTACACTTCAAAAACCATAAAGCTCTCTAGAGACACCAGATACTCCAATTTCAACTCCACAAAATTTTGCATACTCCCACTGATCCCCTGAATTTAAAATTTTGGGTAGACCTTTTTAAATTTTAAAAGGTCTCCAAGCCTCTGCTGATTTAGTAAAGCTTTTCAATATTAGCTCAATCACAGCAAATTTACACAAAACGATGCGTTATCAATCAGTAACAGTGTGAGGGCTGTAGATTTGTGCATGTTTGTCAAAATGATCCGACAACCCAGGAGAAAGGGGCTTAACAAGAGCAGCCACTGCAGGCCCTGGTTCCCAGATTTCTTGTCCTCACTAGCCTTTCTGTTTTCTAACCTGTTGCTAATTGCTCCCATCTTTCCCACTCACACCCTCACTTAATTCCAGGCAACCTGTCTTTGGGGGAGACAGCTAAGATAAGTTACTGGATCAGTCAAACCTGATCTACTTCCACTAGACCCAGCTGACCTCCTCAGCACAGGGTGGGAGGGAGCAGGCAGAGAAATGCTGCTGGGTGAGGGATTGAAGAACCCGAAGTTCCTTCATCTGGTCCCTCATCCCCGCCCTTTCTCAGGCACTTCATCTTTCTGCCAAGGCCAAATCCAATCGTGTGAAGTGATTTAAAAGTTAATGATAAAGTTAAATATCCAAACCACAGTCAACAACATTGAAATTGCAAGACCCAAACTTTAATAACCAGATTTAAAAGGTGCCTTGTCAAGATGGCAGACTGGCACTGGGGTAGGAGAACAGGAAAGGAAATCTGGGAACCTTGCTGGAGAGTTGACATTGGTGGTGGGATTTGTGATGAAACACTGTATGTCAAAAACCCAACTATGAATAGCTTTGTAATTCATGGTACTTTTGCAAAATAAAATTGGACGGGGGGAGTGTTTGAAAGGCACTCTCTTAGAGGAATAGATTTTCACTGGGGAATCATGAAGAAACCTGTATTCCCTTTATAACCCCAATTAAAATAGCAATTGCCACCAGACTCCATCCCCACCTTGGGTCTTCCTTACCTCTTTCCATCCTTTATTTTCTGCAGTGCCCTATTACCAGCTGATCACCTCTCTTCTCTGTTCCTTGTCTATCCCATAAAAATTGATGTCCCAGAAATGTAATCAAGAATTTACATAGGCATGTTCATGCAAATGACATTTGTGCTATGTGAACTGTGATAAGAAAGTGCATATGAGCTGCACCTTACAAGTCTGTGACCTCCCCAGTCTCACTTGTTGGTCAGTGGTGAAGGGTATGGCTGTAGCTCAGTGATGCTGACACCAGGTGGACAATAATATTTGGTTTCTACCTCATGAGCTGGGTATGCTTACCTGTCTTCATACCCTGGTTTATTCGGGGTGAATAAAGAATTGATAGCACAAAATTGAGTTAAGAAATGGACTGGCAAGGATCATATATACCCCAAACTAGAAAGGGTGCGCTCACAACATTAGAGTATTTTAATGCACTTGTTCACATTCATATACCTACATGCAGGCCTTCACACAATTCAATCTGAATAGCTACACAATACACATTGTACACGTAATGCTGAAAAGACATACCATTCTCCTGAATCATGTCAGAGGCACACTGTTCCAGGACAGACATGTTTGCCAATATGGTCACAATCTAGAAAAGAATGGGCAGGACTTGATCCAAAGGTGCTCTTTACAGACAGGGAAACAAATGGAAGAGGCTACAAAGCTTCTTTTAGCTCTAGACTCCTTACCATCCACCTGCCCCATCCCAAGACTCCGTATTGTCCTTCTGACCCATCCTTCTTTGAGATGCTAATATTTCCTTCTATTTTTATGGGTTCTAACCACCCAGATATCTTTTGCTAATGACTGATATTCAATTCATTATTATGTGGTCATAGGAAGGTCTGTGGAGGCAATTGCAGCACCCATTAAAAACAACTGTCAAAAGAGCGAAGAGGGATCTTTCTGTCATCTTTCTGCAAGTTTCTTATGATCCCAGGATCGAAGGTGCAAATAGAAAGTGGCAGATTCCTGGCTAGCCCCCACCCTGGATTTGGTTCCTTCATCCTCATCCTTGTTTCTTGACCTGAGTTTGAACTTAACCGATTTTCAACATAAAATTAACTGAGTCGGGTCAGGTTAAAGAACATGAGTAGGATAAAAGTGCAGTATTACAACCCAAGCACCCAGTGCTATGTGAACTGTGATAAGAAAGAGCATATGAGCTGTGCCTTACAAGTCTGTGACCTCCCAAGTCTCACTTGTTGGTCAGTGATGAAGGTTATGGCTGTAGCTCAGTGATGTTGACACCAGGTGGACAATGAGACTTGGTCACTACCTCATGAGCTGGGTAGCGTGCTGCTCATCTGTCTTCACACCCTGACTTAGTCATGATGAATAGAGAATTCATAGCACAAAATTGAATTAAGAAATAAACTGGCAAGGATCACATATACCCCAAACTAGAAAGAGTTTCCTCATATTATTGGAGCATCTTAGAAATGTGTCACCTGCTAACTCACATAACACCATGGCTCCTGACAAGAACAAAAATGAAAATCTACCTCCTTCTATAAAGTGGATTGCACTCTGAAGTGGCAATTCAAATGAAAATGAAATGAAATCAAATCAAATGAAATGAAAATGCTCTTTATGGTGCAGTGCCTATCACTCTTAAAAAGTTTCTTTCAAACTTATATAAGAGAAAACTGGAGGTCACTGCCCCTCTCTGGGAGAGCCCACTCTTCTGAAGTCAGTAAGCAGTCTAAATTCTGAAACTGGGCAATGCACATCAATGTGTTGTTTATCAATAACAAGTACTGTATATATTTTATTCAGTTCAATATTATCCCATTACTCAGAATAATATGTGCATATAACAGATCTCTTCTTTTAAACAGAAAGGGTAAGGTTGCCATCTCAATAGACCTATCTCTACCTTACCCACTAAACACACAGCAAACGGGATATGTGTTTGAGGTCACTGTCACCTCTTGTGTGCCAGCATTGACCATCTCCAACATGGTCATAGACTTGGGTGCTCAGCATAGTGGGTTATCTGGAATGGAAGAGTATAATATCCTTAAAGCTTTATCCAGGAGATTACTCTCCCTTATCAGATGTTTCTTAAGGAGAGTAACAAACTCCTATCTGCACTTTATAGATGACAGAATCAATGGAGTTTCAGTCATTGGAAACTCTTCTTCTCCCTCTTCTTAGGCCTGTGAGCGCTTATTAGCTAAGTGGAAGGAAGAAAGGGGCATTCAAAAGATGCAATGTTGTCCAAGCAGCATAATTTGTGTGGTTTTATAAGAAAGGACACAAGGCCAAAACTCTGTCAGAATACTCAGTTTGGAGTTTCTCTGTACAATAAGCCGTAGCTTCAGCTCTCACGATGTAGGGTCCATAACCCTCCAACTTCAGCCTGGCCTCTCAGAATAAAGACACAATATAAAGATCCAGAAGAAAAAAAACAGAAGGAAGGGCGGGAAGGAGGGAAGGAGGGAGGGAGGGAGGGAGGGAGGGAGGGAGGGAGGGAGGGAGGGAGGGGAGGGAGGGAGGGAGGGATGCAGGAAGGAAGGAAGGAAGGAAGGAAGGAAGGAAGGAAGGAAGGAAGGAAGGGAAGAAAGATCTTTGTCTGCACCACAGCTTCATTACATGACAATTATTGTTAAATTGTCACAGGTAGGTCTTTGTGTCAGACTAATTTAGATTCTGTTAATGAAAATTACTTCCTTTTTTACAGAGCCTGTACCCCATGTGGTTTTCTGAGGTGTAGATGAAGTATCAATTAAAGACAATTTGAATAAATGCCAATTATGCCCTGCTTTGAGGCCTCCTCCTTTGAAACATCCTTGTATTCACCATGATGCAGAGGGGAAGAGGGTCAATATTTCTTTATACAATCAAGCCCATGCTGGGATTTTAGGAACAACTGGTTTACCTCTTTGGATACAAATAGTAATGCTGTAAGGGTATAGACTTATTTCAGTCTGGCAGATTTTCCCCTGGCCCAAGCTAATTCAATCCTGTATGTTAATTTTCAGTTAAATCTTATTTATTCCTCCAGAGTGACAGGGCACTATTACCTCTACTATCAGCCTCAAGAGAGATCCTAGATAAGAGGAAATATAGCACAGAGCAAAGTGCATGGTACTCTCTAGTCCTAAGTCTTTGGCTCAATTATTTTTTTCCCATACAATATCAGCAATGCAACTTAAGCTTTTAGGTCTTGGTTTTTTTTATGGCTATTAGTTTTCTTTTAACATTATAATGAATTTCCACAAATATAGATATATTGCATTTCTGTAGGTCAGAATTGTAGATTCTTAAGGGCTCAGATCAAGTTTGTTTGTTTTTTTAACCAGAGTGGCATACTAAAAATGCATACTGGGAATTGTTAGGAAAAATTAATTTATTTGCCTTTTCAAGATTCTATAAATTGCTTTCAGTTCTTTACTCTTAGCATGACATCTCTCTGATGTCTGTTCTTCGATTGAATCTCATTCTTTGCCTTTGAATCTCTGTATCTGTTCTTATAAGAACCTTCCTGGTTACCTTGCACCCACAAGGATATTCCAGGATAATTTCAAGATTCTTAATCACATTTTTGAAACTTCTTTGGTCATGTAAGGTAACATATTTATAGATTTGGGGATTAAGATGGGGACACCTTTTGGGGAGCATTGTTTAAATTATCATAGAGGATTTAAAAATCCATAAATGCTGTGAGCATTAACTTAAGTTATATTTTGTTAATAATCTCAGAAAGATTGTTTAATAAATGAGTATAAATTAACCCTGAACAGAGCCTGAAAGTAACCAAACCTTGAAAAACTGTGTTAAGGTACTCACAAAAGCAACACCCAGTGTTGAAAATCATGCTGCTAATGGGAGATTTCCTCCAGTGCACTGGGAGGCGAGATCCCAAAGCATGAGGAGCCCTTCCAGGCAAAGAAACCAATTCATTATTTGTCTTCATTATTACCATGTGTGTCATTTTTGAAATTATTTTTTCTTTAGTCTCCCAAAGACTAAAGCCTTAGAAAAATGGGCAAAGAGCATATGGAACCAGATTAACAGGGTGCTGCCCATTTCATTGATTCAACAAAAAGAAAATGGCCTGCATGATGGGAGATGAAAGTTGGAAAATTCCTTTGCTATCCCGATAATAGCAAAGGTAAAAGTTTACTCTGCTAGTCCATTGTGGGTGGTGTGGGGTCACTTACTGGTGAACAAATCAATTCCAAGCTATGAACCAGCCTTGTCTCCCATTCATAGATATGTCTAAGCAATTTCCCCAATCAGCCACTAACTCTGTCATTTTCAAGTGCTATGCTGTAAACCAATGCTGAAATGTATACTACATAAAAGACAAATGAGGAATACCTGGTTTATATCAGAGCTTAGTGCTCTGAACTGAACCTACAACAGTGAAAATCTGACATATTTAATGCAAAGCTATGATTGCTTTTTGTTGTGCAGTAATTAGGGAAAAAAGGCCAACAGTTCATAAGATGATAATTAGTATCACCCTTAATTGCTTATGGAATACTTAGAAGCTATTATCACCGTATTAATTCTCTTAAGAGTTGAGGCAATGAACTACAGCTTTGAGACAAGCCACAAAATTTCCTTCCACCTCTAGGGTGGCCTAGAGTCTCTCTCTGTTCTGCCTTCTTTCTTCCACACCACTTATTCTATCAAATAGCAGAAAGAATCGAGACAGTTTCCTAGATTTGAAGAAAAAGAGGACCAAGAGAAGAAGGGTATATTCTCATTGATACACTTTCTTCTTCAAGGCCACTGAAGCAAGATGTTCTAGGAGAAGATCTAGCACCCTTTTTTGTTCCACTTCTATTGAGTCTCCCTCTGATAGACATGGCAAGGGGTCTAGGAATTGAGAGAGCTGAGCAGAATGGAGGTTAGGATGGTGGTTCCATAGGCCTTGGGACAAACAATGCCCCCACCCTCTGGTACTTTAGGATAGAGTTCCCAAATCTTTGATGAACTAGGCCAAAGGAATCTCCCAAATGGGACAATACACGCTCTCCCTCTATGGCAGTGCATCAAAGTTAAGATGTGGACCTCAAGGTATTAGAGAACACAAAAATACCAGAGCATGTTTTCTGTGTTTCCTTTGGCTTCAGAGGGAGAATTTCTAGAGCAGATCAAAACTGGGTATTGTAATTCTGAGTTCTTCCAAGTCTCTATAATTTGGTAAATGTGTACATGCACTCATACATAACTAAATGCATCTACTCCTATAAACAATATGGAGTCCTTACTATCACCGCTACCTCCAACATGCAATTTTCATCTATCCACACAAAGATAAAACAATGTACATCACATGTAAACTCAGTTCCAGTTGCCATCACCTTCACATTAACTACATTTCCTATTCCTGTGTGTCTTTCATAACTGTCTCTAACCCATCTCAATCACTGGTAATCTCTGAGACTCCTTTCATAGATCAGATCCAATAACAAGATTTTATCTAATACACATTCCATTTAATATTCATATTGATATGAAGAGGGAAGAAATGACATTATTATACTATCATCATTATACTGATAAGGAAAAAATGTAGCTCCAGAGCTAGGCAATGATCAAGTCCATATTTGAACTTAACTAAAGTCTATC